ACTTGTGGGGAGTCCTGCTGCCCCTGAGGGAGAGAAGGAGAAATCAGCCCCAGCCCCCCAGCCCCAGCATGGGGCCCCCGCTGTGCCCCATTGCCTAGGAGAGCACCCCGAGGAGGAGCAGTTCCCCAGACCTCACCTCCCTGCTGCTGTCAGGCTGTGGGTCAGGCATCTCACAGCGCGGGGGGCTGCACCGGGCACCCCACAGCAGGTGAGACTCTGTACCCACTCCCGTGGCCACCCCAGGCCCTTGCCCCCTGCTGGCACCGCCCCGCGAGGATGGTGCATTGTGGTGACCCCACGGGCACCCTGCGGCACCCCACACCAGGAGCACTCACCGAACGATTGCCCTATGGCCACGAAGCTCCCGGCAGCCACTTTCCCACCATTGGCAATGGCAGCTAGAGACATCATTCTGGCGGCCACGGATCCAGCTGCAATTCCTGCTTTGGTGAAGCCCAGAGCATACAGGGCTGCCGGCACCACTGTCACACTGAGTCCTGCATCAGAGAGCAGCAGCGGTGACGCTCCTGCAGGCACGCGCATGTCCCCAGGCTGCAAACCCCTCAGCCCTGGGTCGCTCCTCAGCCACATGCGTCCCCAGCCCCAAAATGGGGGGTTCGTGGAGGCAGAGCTCCAGCTCACCCAGGACAGCTCAAAGCAGAGTGGGTGGTGCAGGGTCCCCAGGCCAAATCTCCCTAGCTGGGGCATCGGTGGGGTCCTGCACATGGGCTTCCTGGGACAGGCTGTGGGGCATTGTTTTGGGGAGTGGGCAGCACCCCCGAGAGGGATCTGTGTGTGCAGAGCAGCAGCGTGAAGCCCTGGGAAAGTGATTTATTTCTGCATGGTGTCAGCCATCCCCATGCCCACCAGTGCCTTACCAATCCCTATGGCCACTCCGACGGCAGGGCCGACAAGTTCTGTAACGAAGGAGAGATCGAGGCTGGTCAGGCGGCATGGCTGAAAGCGAGGGCGAGCTGCTGCCCTCGCTCTGGGCAGCACTGCAAGGGGCTAAAAAAAAAGCCTCCTCCAAAAGGCCAGAACGGCGAGTCCTTGCCAGCACAGCCCTGCTGCCCACGGCCAGCCCTGGCCCATCCCATGAGAGCCCTGAGCCCCTCTGTGCCCTCGCTCAAAAGCAGAGGGAGGTTTGCCGCATGCCCAGGGGCCAGTGCCCCGTGGCCCCTGTGCTGCCCCGCTGTGGGGCCCGA